TTCTGTCTCTCTGTCTCTCTCTCTCTTTCTGGCGAGCGCATGCACCCTATAGCACAAACTTCTCCAAAAAAAAGAAAAAAATATATATATATATTGTAATTTCCTTGATTTCATGGTAATATACTACATGCAGACTTTGAAAAATCATGTTGTATATATATTCTTTAGAGATTTACAATGATGATTATAAATAAATAAATGAGAAAGTATTAATAATTACATCATAATTAAAAGAATGATTCATGAGGAAGATATAACAACATAGCCTAAATGTATATAAAGAAAAAAACTGACAGAATTATAAAAAAAATTTGGCTAAGCACATAAAATATGATGAATGTAGACTAATACAATTGCTAAGTTTTATCTAATCAATATCAATAGCCCCAGACCCAATAATCAGAAACAGTTTGCTGAAGCACAGATAGAATATTTATAGAAAATGAGTACGAACTAGGCCATAAGAAAAATCTCAACAAATAAAGCAGCCTATATGATCACAATACTGTGAAATTAAAATCAGTAGTACTCCCCAAACATTTAGAAACTATAAAACAAACCTTTACCACCACTGATCACGACCACAAAAACCTCTGCCACTGCCATCACACATGCAAACACACATACACACTCTCCTGGGTCAAAAACATCTTACAGGAGATAAAAGTATTTTGGATTACATCGTAATGAAAACAATACCTAAAACTTAATGACGGATTCAAGTTTCAATTCCACTGTTTCTTTTCCTAAGCACTTCAAAGCACATTTGTCTGAACATTCTATAACATTCTATATATTAATTTCTTCCTGTGAAGATGCTAGTGGTATATTTTATCATTTGGGGTGTCAAACTTATCTCTGGGATTCTCTCAGCCTGGAAAATGGAACTTTTTACTATCGGGGATTTATATTTGCATCAGTCATTCATCCTGGACTATTAGCAACTCAAAACCATGTCATGTTAATTTCTTAGTTTACAGAATCCCACACTGGTAGCACTGAGTTGAAAATTTAATTCTTTTTGTTTGTGACAACAACCAAGTGGTTTGGAATTCTCTGAAAGACTCCCACTGCTACCACGTGCCCAGGCCCAGAAAGAACATTATTATTATTTCCTTTGCTGGAGACACATTTTTGGTGTAGTCTTCCAAACCCTCTGAGGAAGTCACTTCCTAGAACAAGTATTTTTAAAGTGGCCAGATTATTTAATCTCTCTGAGTTTTAGTTACCTTCTCTCTAATTAGGATTATGAAATGTATCCTATATGCTCATTAGAACGTAATGATAACGTCACTTGATAAATGGGTGTTTTTTTTCTTATTTTCATCATCCTAATGGTTAAATTATACTATTATCAGAGATTATAGATACATGACAATAAAAATTTAAAAGATATAAAACTTGAATTATGTAGAAGTAACAAAAACTTAAGGACATCATTATTTTAGACGACGACAATAATATACAATCTCTTGTGTATGTGTCTGGCAGACAAAGATTATGCAAATACACTGGTAGCGAAACAGAGCAGTGAGGCCTTGGGGATGGCTCTGCCCTTTAAGTCTAAGAAACCTGTGCAGCTTCTCTGAGCTGACGTTTCCAGAATGAGGAGAGAAATTTTCATCATCCCTAATCTCCTTCACATCTGTAATATTTTCTTCTTTTCTGTTATCGGTTCTATTTTTCTTTCTTTTTTTTTTTTAATGTCACAGGTATGTGAGCAAAAGGAAGAGAGAGAGGGGAGGCACCTCCTCAAAAGGACCTGGCTGCTCCACAATTCTCCCTCCTATCAGGATTCTGGCTATGTGAGTGTGCGCACCAACATGTCAACGGAGCCAGGACTTGAACTCTAACCAACCAGGTGGGATCCAGCTTCCTGTGTGCAGTACCCAAGCACTACACTACAGAGCTGGCCCTACTCTTTCTTTTTGCTTCATGAATTCTCCACCTGATGTTCATTATATGATTATGTGACTGCCACAAAACATTCCTGGAAAGAGAATTATTTGCTACTTTATTTTTACTCAAAAGAAGTGAGAAAGGACTAAGCAACAGGATGAGCAACTCAGCAATGAAACGTGAAAACAGTGACCAGAAACCTTATGTTTTCATAATTGCTGCATGCTTTAAAAATTATTTCAGAAAGACAATGTATCCACAAAGAACAATGAGGCCTGTAGGGAGAGGTCCCGTGCCGAGGGTGATGTGAAAGCATGACAGGCTTTTGTGACTGTGTTCCCTTCACCTGAGTTATTGTCAGTCCCAGTCTAGGTTCCCTGCTTCTCACTGCAGTGATCTGCTGAAAAGAATCCCCACCAGAAGGCTCCTCAGAAGTGCATTAATGGAGCTAAGTGACGGCACAGTGGGAATGCAACCAGATCCGTATGGGAAAGATCCCAGGTTCATGTCCTGGGACATCCCCGAGGACATTATAATCTCAGTCAGCTGAGACTACTTGTTAGTGGATCAGGAGTGAAGACCTTGTGGAGGTCCTGTATCTCTCTCTCATGTAAGGAAGAAACTTTAGGAGACCAGCAGTTGGCGTAATGGCTATGTCACTGGACTCCCATGTAGTCAACCGCAGTTTGAGTCCTCTACCCGGTGACTTAAAACTCACGCCAGGCATGTGTGCATGCGTGCCCAAGATCTCAAGAGGAGAATGGAGGAGAAGGGATTGTGACGTGGCCATTCCCCCTGGGGGGGTAGGTGATCTCTTGCTTTCTGTCTCTCTGTCTCTCTCTCTTTCTGGCAAGGGCATGTGCCCTTTAGCAAAAACCTCTCCAAAAGAAAAAGAAATAAACTTTAAAATACATATTTCTATATGTGTGTATATGTGTGTGTGTGTGTGTGTGTGTGTGTGTGTGTGTATTACAAATGGGAAAAAATGACTATGAGTAGTTTGCTATCAGTAACTTGACGTTTTCTTCTGGAAACGTTCCTGACAACCTAGGATCAGAGACTACCGACACCTGATGACACCTTCTCCCATAACCTGCCATACCCAAGTTCCATTCTGCATGTATTTGGTTACCTGTTCTCTCACTCCCTATCCCGTGACATTCTGAAAAAAGCCAGTGATGGTGTGCATCACTATATTAGCCAGAAGGAATACATTAGGACAACTTTAGGAAGAACAGGGATCCCCAACACTAGCAATAAACCACATTTAGATCATTGAAACATTTGGCGGTGATGATAACAAAGCATTTTCACCTACAAAAAAATCAAGCCAACTGTTATCAAATAAAATTTGCTGATCCTAAAGCACTGTGTACACTATGTACTCACTTTCTGGCAGCCTGTTTCTATTTCCACTATTCCTGGACCTTGCGTTTGTGATTTCATCTTGCAAATGTAGTCGAGGGGCCTCTCACAGGCCCGGTCTGCCCAGTACCCATCCTGCAGAGAGGAAAGAGAGAAAACAATTTAAAAACCGATTTATTTGTTGCTTAACTTTGACGCTATTTTTTTGTATTTGTGTCTCTAAGATGAAAAACTAAAATCCAAGGTTATTCAATGGCATCTACAGAAAGGAAATGTGAATTGACATTTTACATATGCATGTAAATATTAATAGTAAGTTAGACTATGGCTACAAAGATGTCAAAAAGTTGTAGACCTCATGTGATTTTAATATCTTACATGTCCAAACTATGGTTCAGAAGGATCTAGAGAGAAATTAAAAATGCTTTCAAGTCCTTAAATGATGGTGCTCATAAGGAGGTTTCAATATACCTCCCTCCTGGACCTCCACAATCAGCTGTCTACAGCCAAGCGCATATAAACCATGCAGACAAAATTCCCTCATCCAACACATTCACCCTGAAAACACACCTGAGAAGGGACCAGCAGTTAGCGTAATGGCTATGTCGCTGAACTCCCATGAAGTCGACCGTGGTTCGAGTCCCAAACCTGGTGGCTTAAACTCACGCCAGGCGCATGTGCATGCGTGCCCAAGATCCCAAGAGGAGAATGGAGGAGAAGGGATTGCGGCATGGCCATCTCCCCCGGGGGGTGATTTCTCACTTTCTATCTCTCTGTCTCTCTCTGTCTTTCTGGCAAGCGTACGCGCCCTATAGCAAAAACCTCTCCAAAAACAAAACAAACAAAAAAATAACAACAACAACAAAACCACACCTGAAACCAGTCATCTTTCCTCCTTTTCTTCTTTCTCTATTGATGCATGTCTTATTGGACCTGACACTCAACCTTCCATTTTGGTTCAAATTCCACCCTTTCCCTCTTGGAGATTTCACGTTAATGTTATCTCTCTTCTCTTTCCTTTACCTGCTAAACATCTTGAAAAACACTTTCTGTATTGTCTGCTTTTACTTTCTCATCTCTCACTTGGTCTCATGCCACTGCAATCTGGTACTCAACCCTTTGGCCAGAATGGCATTTGTACATTGAAAACATAGTCTTGCCACTCCCAAGATCATACATGTTTCTTGACCCTCAGTACTCACGTTCCACCACCCTTAGACCTCTAACTCCACAGCTTTCAGCCATACCGTTTCCCCAACTCTTGACAAGCAGGACATGCTCTGGTTTTTTCTGCCTACTGTTTGGATAGACAACACCTACTCTTTTTTATTTTTAAGTTTTCCAGAGAGAGAAAGAGAAAGAAGAGACAGAGAGAAGGACAGGAAGAAAGGATCCTCTACACACTGGGAATAGTAACACTGCAATCCCTTCTCCTCCATTTCTCCATTCTGTCAGAATTTGGGGCACACACACACACACACACACACACACACAGTGTGTCACTCAAGCCACCGAATTCAGGACTTGAACCACAGGGTTGGCCATGCGGGATCCAGTTGCCTTGACCACTAGTCACAGAGCCAGCCCTACTTACTCTAATCATGGCAACAACAACAACAACAAAAAACCCACAAAAAAGAATAGTAGCTAATATTAATTGAATAATACATACGGGCCAAGAACTGTGCATAAAATACGTATTAACATATTTAATCCTCATATCTGCATACGAGCAGGGTATAATTATTATCTCCATTTTGCAAATAAGTCATAGAGCAAAATCTAGCTTCTTAACCATCATATTCATCTTATATTACCAAAAGTTTATTTGATGATATTGTTTAATCATTAAGGTCATATTTAGAACATGAAAGCTGGTAAATCATTTCACTCTTTATCTCCATATAACCAGAGAGAAAATGAATGCAGCTTTCCAAACACAGATTCTAGGCTGGGGAACCTAGAACAGGCCTAACTAGGTCAAATGCCACTCAGAGTAACTAGCTGAAGAGCTCTGATTTTGGGAATCAACTTATTTATCTGTATAATACACTATATCTATCTATCTATATATATAGTTGATAAATCAGACTTTCTACATACATATATATGCACACATGTGAAGTATATATACACATACACATATATATGTATATTTAAGGCCCAACACATGAATATGAATATTTGTTATTGCTTAATTTCATCTATGAACCAAAAGTTTCTGTCTGTTGCTTTTGTGATCCTCTGGACAATTTGACTTTGCTGGACAACTGAGAGAGATCCAATAAGCTGAATTTGAATTTTGAGTCAACTTTGACATGTATCAATTTACCTAGGATCGAAGTCATCTAAAAGGTATACCGTAAGTGGGGCTGAAGGCAGACTCCCATGCCTCCATGAGTACTTAAAGCTGCCTTACCTTGCCTTTCATCACAACACAGTCTTCCTGCCTGTTGTTTTCATGGCTTGGTTCCCCTCGAAGCCATTTGGTAAATGTCACAGGGGTCCCATCACTCCACTCAAAGTACATTTGAATCTTGATGTCATTTAAGCCAATCCACAACTCATCATTTGGTTCTAAATAGGAAGAAAACACAAAAGTAGCGTATACAAAGTGGCTTTCCCTAGCCAGGAGGTGTCAGAGAGGAAGGAACTCGGCTCTATCACACAGCTCTGCGCCCTCGATAGTCCAACTATCGCCACGGACCACCCTCTTGAGCGCTTATCGGCCCTCCGTGCTGCAGATTAGATATGGACTACACTTTGCCTTGTCAGTTGTAGGACATGTAATGTGCTTCCACACTGTGAGTGTAACTATGCTCTTCAGTTACATTATTACAAATTATATTTCCTGGAAATTGTGAGGATGAAATTGAGGTAGATCTATTATAACTCTCTATTTTATGCAGCTTGTTTTCTGTTACAAATGCTTTTTGTTTTGCTTTGCTATACATACACTATCTATATCTATCTACATATGTGTATATATATATGTGATAAATCAGACTTTCTACATACATACATATTCACACATGCAAAGTATACACATGTATACACACACATAGAGCATGTGTGCTCGCCACAAAGAGACAGAGAGACAGAGAGGGAAAGATAAGGGAGAGAGAGAGGGGGAAATTGAGAAATCACCCTCCAGGGGAGATGCCTATACCACAATCCCTTCTCCTCCAGTCTCCTCTCAGGACTAGGGGCACACACACACACACACACACACACACACACACACACACTGGTATGACTTTCAAGCTCTTAGGCCTGGCCTCAAACCACTCAGTGGCCATGTGGGATCCAATACCTTAACATCCATGCTACCTGCTGGCCCATTATAAATAATTATACCAACCACACTTATGTTGTTGGAAATATGGTAGTCTATGTAAATATGATAGTCTATATAAATTTATTTGACTATAATGAAGTCTTATGAATGTTTTATAGTAACAGAAATTTAAAACCACTTCTATTCTATTGACTGTTGTTATCAGGATCATTCTAGGTGCTTTTGTTAAAGTTCCATCACTGTATTAGAAATAGTAATTACTTAGACAGTGAGAGAAATATGAACCGAGGAGTTAGGCTGGCTCCTGACATTTGGCATTTATTCATTAGTCTAAAAATATAGGTAGATCTGTAATAGTTTTCATCATGGAATACCAAGGAAACTCAAGTAACAAGAGTAAAACCCAAACAACTGATATACAAAGGGTCTTTAAAAGAAAAAAGAAAAAAAGGTTGTAGAAGGCCACCCTAACAGTGCAGTGGCTGGGTGCTGTGGGAGGAAGGCACATTACATGGTCAACCACAGTTCAAATCCTGGTCCCAGCACCTTGAAAAATATGTAGGGTGAGGATGTGTTTGTACCCCAAATCCTGATAAGATAAAGAAATGAAGGAGAAATTACAACGTAACCATGCCCATTGAGAGGTGTTCTCTCTCTCTTCTCTCACTCTCTGCCTCTACACATACATGTGTCTTCTGGCAAATGGTTTCGGTGCAAAATATTTTTAAATCCATTCGTAATTTTTTTGAGTGAGATTTTTGCTATAGGATATATGCGTTTACCAGAGAGACAGAGACAGACAAAGACAGAAAGTGAGAAATCATCCCCCAGGAGAGATGGCCACACCACAGTCTTTTCTCTTCCATTCTTCTCTTGGGATCTTGGACACTCACACACACGCACCTGGAGTGAGTTTTAAGCTGCTGGGCCTGGAAGTGAACAGTGGTCAACTACATGGGAATATATCCATCTAGGTAATCATTACACCATCTGCTGGTCCTTAAATCCATTTGCAATTTTTTTATAGTATGCATTTATTCATGAATTGTAGAAGCACGCTTATAGATTTAAAATGTGATCATTTTGCTTTTAAATTCTACAGAGAACATTACTGATTTTATAAGCTATTCTAAACAAATTATAAAATCACAAAAAAGGGAAAGGTGCAATGATTTAAATGATGATTTTATGAACAAAACATAAAATTTTGCGTATTAGAAAATTTCAACAATACACCACTCAATATCTATTCAATTTACTTGCCTGGGGATTTTATCCTGAATGGTTGATAGATGTTCTTTAAATACACACCAAAGAATGGTAAAGATGATGTGGTATAAATTGAGAAAAATACTGCACTATATCAGGATTCCCTAAGTGGCTTAGTCTCTTCCTCCTAAAAGCTGTCACTCAACTTTACTTTTGGAGAAGTCTTCGGCTGGCCTCATGCCAGCCTCAGCAGATGTTTCCAGAGTCACAAAGTAGGAACGATATTGCCAAACGATCCCCTTTTTCTTTCACTTGATTTGACAGATCATGATCTTCTGAGTAACAGATACAGGCTTCCAAGTGACCTCATGTACCCCTAAGGGATTTTGGTTGAAGACCAATGACAAGCTAAACTCCCAAGGCCTACAAGTATACCACAGCACTCACAGCTTTCTAACAGATTTTTCTCACTCAACTGTTCTCCTTCTATAGCTTTTGTAATTTCAACCTTGGTCCTACAAAATATATAATGTGGGGCTCAGCAGATGATGTACCAGTTACACCGTCAGACTCTCACATGGCCAACCATGGTTCGAGTCCTGAACTCAGCAGCTTGAAACTCATGCCAGGTACATGTGCATGCATGCCCAAAATCCCAAGAGGAGAGTGACATGTAATTGTCAAAATCCCAAGAGGAGAAAGGATTGCAGTGTGACCATCTCTCCTAGAAGGTGATTTCTCACTTTCTGTCTTGTCTCTCTGTCTTTCTCTGTCTCTCTGATGAGTGCATGTACCCTATAGCAAGAATCTCTTTAAAAAAAAAAGGGTCTTTAGCTTCTAAGAAAAAATCCTTTTAAAAAAAAAAAAAAAATATATATATATATATAATATGTGAATGTAAAGTTGTTAGACTGATTTCATAAATCAGGGAAGTCATCTTTGTGAAAATAATAGTAACTGACATGAGTAGGTCCCAATTAATACACTTGAAATATGTTTCCATGATTGATATAAAAATATTACAACTAACTAAAGGGATTTTTCTAGGCTTTTTTAACAGGAAAAAAAAAAAGATGATTTCTTCTATAATAGAGACAGAGAAGAATACAGAGCTAGAGAGAGAAGCATTCCCAACAGGATTTCCCATGTCACAATCCACCCCCAGCACAGCCTGTCTGGATCACAGGCACACACACACACGCATCTGACATGAACAGGACAGCCTCGGGATACAAACCCAGGACCTTCCCACTTGGGTCCAGCCTTGCAGAGCATTGTGTTACTGCTGCACCACCATCTGGCCCCTAGGCTTTTGATTTAGAAGCAATAGTTTTAATTTTACAATTTTGCTTATAGTTATATTATTTTAGATGAATTCCTATTGATCATTTTTAATGAAAAGTTTTCTAATTCATTTACTCATCCTCAAGTTGAATTTAAAAGCAAGCTGTGTCATTCAACTTCCTCATAGTAACTCTAGCACTAAAAATAGTAGGTTCTCCTATTACTATCACGTTTTTGAAAGAAGATCAAAATTCCCACTTCAGTCATGTAGCATCTTGACTAACTGTTTTTCCACTGATATTTGCTACCTCTACTAGTTACTATAAGTATCATGATCAACTTCAGTAACTGTTATTAAAATATCTCAGCTTGAGGGGGCCAGCAACACAGCCTAGTGGTTAAGGGAGCTGGAGCACACCAATCAACTGTGGTTCAAATTGTGACCCAACAACTTAAAAAACATGCAGGATGCATGTGCATGTGTGCCCCAAATACCAAAACAAAGGAGAAATGGAGGAGAAGGGATTTCAACATGACCTTGCCCCATTAGGAGGGGGGGACACAAAATATCTGCAGATATTCCAGAGTACGTGATAATATATATATATATATATATATATACATATATATACACACACACATAAGTGTATTTTAATTGTTACTACCTTACTACATTTTAGTCTGAGTTTTCAAGGCTACTAAAACGTAGAATCATCAAGAAAGTGTTTCTAAGCTGCAGGACATGTTCGCATGGTTCATACACTCAGTGGGGTAAACAGAGGGGAATGGAGTCCGCTGGGCACAGACGTTGGGAGTAACAACATTCTGGGGTCCACTCCATCTTTTTCTGCTTCTACTTTATCTTCTTCTTCTTTGAGAACTGCTCCCTCCCCCACCACCCATTTCTAGGCAATGTGTCAGGAAGCCCTCTGCACCATCACCACCATCCATTTCCTCTTGTTTTGCTGGGTGGAAATGAAGAACAGCTGCAGCTACTCAGCAGCCTCATCAGGGGGAGATGAAAATGATCATCATTTCATCAACGAGCAGAGCCGAGTGCCCATTATCGTTATGTTGTTTCTCAACCTGCTCTTCTTCAGGACAAGCATTCCCCACTCATTGTACCCATCTTTCTTGGTTTTTTCTTATTAGGATATTTTCTATGTATCGTAAAAATTGTATGCCTATAATTTAGATGTAAATTTACTTAGAAGATTTAGTTCAACACTTAATCACTCAAAAAAAAAAAAAAAGAAAAAAAACAGTCCATGTCCTTCATGGTTCAATGGAAAGAGTTAGCAGTGAGGGGGGGCAGTCTTCAAAAAGTTCATGGAGGGGTCAGCAGGTAGTGTGATGGTGAAGGTACCAAATGGACTTGACCATAGTTCGAGTCCCAGACCTGGTAGCTTGCTTTTTCACTTTCTTTCTGTCTCTTTGTCTCTCTCTGGTGAGCACATATGCCCTCTAGCAAAATTAAATGAAAATTATAATGATGATTAATAAAATAAAATAATTCCTTTTTTAAAAATGTCCATAAAAATGCATATTAAGAAAGAACTCTGCATGAATCAAAGCATTTTTATACCAAAATAATCTCACACTTTGATTTTGTTTTCTCACAAGCTTTGTGAAATCTCCTCATATGTGCAGACATGGCCATGAAGCTGGAGCCCTATGGGAGATCAGTTTGGATCTCCTGGGTTGGGCTGTACCTGCCAACCACGTGTATATGAGCCTGTGATCCTGGCTGGCTGGGAAGGCTGGGGGACGATCTCAGGATGAGACCTTGTGGAGGGTGCTTGTCTTTCTCTCATAGAAGAAAGAAATCAACTTAAAAATACATTTACCTAGACACACACAAGTAATTTCCAAAAATCAGACTTGGTTGACAAGTCCTAAGTAGACTAATATGAATATAATTTGTGTGGGAAAATGACACTTAATACCTATCCATATGATTACACAGCAGAAGAAGAAATTGAAGCATCTTTTAGTAATCAGAATTCTTTAAATTATTGTACAATTTTCACATCATAGGCACAATTAGCATTTATTATTAAAGGTATTAAATTGTTCATTTCATTTTTCATTTAAATGTTTTACTTATTGAATTAAAATGAATAATTACATTCTTCAGAGATAGGTGGAGAGAAGACTAGAGTCAAGCATATAACCAGAGTCAGGTAGCTCACCATATCCGAGCTGGGAGATGATGAAGTCGAATTCCTCGATGCTGTGGATACTTGCTAGATCACCACCTTCCTTCCTACACGCAGTCAAGGCATCCCTCTGAATTTTCTTCTCTCTGTGGATCTTGTAACAGTTACCTGTATATGGCCACCACTGACTAGGACAGCTAACAGGCACATCACTTTCTAGAGGGAAAAAAGAGTGGGAGGAATTGAAAAACATTTTTAAAAAAGAGGGCTTATTTAAAACTATAACAATACTTCTATCATTCTATATGGGAAATAGTTCCTGGTTATGAGTAAATAAAGGTACTATTTGTGTTTTCTGCTTTGGTATATTTAATCACAAAAGATATACTAGTCAGTCTACTTTGTCTTTTAGACTGAAAAAAAAAATAATAACCTACTTTGTACTTTAAAATAAAGTCAAAAGGGTGGGGGGGTGGGGACCAGCAGTTGGCATTGGGGCTATGTCGCTGGACTCCCATGCAATCGACAGCAGTTCAAGTCCCAAACCCGGTGGCTTAAACGCATGTTGGGTGTGTGTGCATGTGTGCCCAAGATCCCGGGAGGAGACTGGAGAAGAAGGGAGATTGCGGTATGGCCATCCCCCCTGGGGGATGATTTCTTGCTTTCTGTCTCTCTGTCTCTCTCTGTCTTTCTTGAGAGCACACGTACCCTATAGAAAAACCTCTTCAAAAATAAAATAAATAAAGTCCAATGGGAAATCTCTTTTCAGAAATTTGCAAGACTACACTACGATGCAATAGGCTGTCTAATTTTACCTCCATTTCACCAGCAGCACACCTGGACTGTGTATGCACGGCGTAAATGCTGGAGCCTGATGTGTTTATGTATAATAAACCCCCTGAAAGATTTCCATTTCCTTTTTTTCTGAGGACACTGGGGAACAATTCACTCTTCTGAAGAAGGGCAATCCTCATAAGACAGTAGGAGAAGAATAAGTCTCTAAGACAGGAGATCAAGTCTCCAAGGAGTAGAATTAGGGTGGTGCAAGAAGCCACCAGGAGCCTCCATAACCATAGCAGCATGGGCCAATCACCTGTGCCTCTGAACTGAGCTTCCCCCACAGTTTACTTGCTTCCCCCAAAAATGATGTGATGTTGTGGCTAGGAGAGGATTTAGATTTGGAAGTCTTTCAGATAAAACCTGTATTTGCCACTAGTTGTGTGATCTTAGGCAAGTCACATCTAGGCAAATCACTGCGTGAACCAATGTATTTATCAATGTAAAGAATTTTAGATAAAGTTAGCTCCACATATCAATGGTTAAGGGAGCTGGACACCATATGACCAACCACAGTTCAAATCCTGGACCCAGGGCCCTGAAAAACACTTCAGTTATGTGTGCATGTGTGCCCAAAATTCCAACAGGATGAATAAATGGAAGAGAAGGGATTGCATCATAATCATGCCCTTTTGTGTGTATGTGTCTCTGTGTGTGTGTATGTCGGGGGTGCTTTCTCCCTCTTCTCTCTCTGGTGAACACATGTGACCTCTGGTAATTTTTTTTAAAAAAGTTACTATGAATACTGGTACTGACATTAAACTATTCATCCTCATTGTATTCTTCTAAATTAGAAAAGAATAGAGATAATGTCCTCATAAATTACAAAAAACACACAATGATTTCATAATTAAAACAATCGTCCTCATTATTGCTACCAATAATTTTGGTTACATTTCATAATCTTTATTATGCATTCCAAGAACTTACTCTAATAGTGATAAGCTGGGGAAAGTGATGGTAAGATCTTTAAAGTAGAAACTGTGAGTGTTGGTAGAGAAAAAGAATTGAATTTATATTTGTTAAACCGAGTTTATTACTATTATTTTAGAGTACTGTCTCAAACAGCAATTTGGGAACACACCTTGCTTAGAAAGGGACTATATTACCAAATGAAGATCATTTTATACATTTAAGCTTGATCATAAGGTTCTCAAATGGCTATTCTATACAGGGCAACTGTCTTTGTAATTCTTGTAGAGAATCAGTCCTATCTCTCCTTAAAGATGGAGACTAGGAAACATCTTTGTTTAAACCCAGGATTCTATGCACATTTATTATTCAAGAAAATATTCATGATGCCCAAACCTGTGTTATTATAAAATTTAAAAAAATGCTTCTTTAAAAAAATTCTATTCCCTCAATACAATTTAGATTCTGTGCATTTCTAGTGGTTACAAAAAATTAAAAATTAAAAACTTCAGCATGGCTCTGGAGCCCTCTGGTGGGTTATTTTAATTTTGCTACCTAGGAAACTGAAAATAATGTCAACCAATACTGAGGGCTTCAAAAACTGAGCAAATGCACTTTTTAAATATTTTAAAATTTAAAAATAGGGACATTCAAAAACCAGCATCAAGTGAAGGTTAGAAATGAAGCAAGGGAGACATAATAGAAAAACAAGAATAATTCACTTAGTACTTGGCCCTCTGAACAAGATTTTGCAGAACAGAGAGGAATTAATATTTCCATTCTATAGAGGAACCTAAAACTTATGGATTAAACAGTTAAGACCACATTACAGAACTCTGCCTCCTGCATCAGAGAAACTAAAACATAGCTATCTTTCTGTTTCCCAATGAGGCAGTTCCAAGTCTTTGAAAGAGAATTATATGAGCTTTCAAAGAAAGAAGAATATACTATTTCTTCTTTAAGAGGAATAGAGATGAAATACAAGAACAATTGAGGTCTCCTTAAAGTACGCCCACAGTCACTATGATGACCCTGTCAAATATAATCAAACCCAATAACCTGGACCCTTGTCTATATCTATTGGAGATCTTGGCCAAATCTATATCTACTGACATGCAAATACACCTACTCACTGCTCCAGCAACTCAACCTCTAGGAATTACCACATGAATGAAGTGACATACTATAAAGTTATTCACTTCAGAATTGTTTGTCATCATAAGAATAGAAGTAAACTAAAAATACATTAAGAGAGGAGTGGCCAAAAACATATGAGGGACAAGCAGGTGTTATAGTGGTCAAGGTGCTGGATTCCCACGTGGCTGACTGTGGTTAGAGTCCTGGATCCAGGTGGCTTGAAACTTACACTGGGCATGTGGCCATGCACACCTAGAATCCCAGGAAGAGAGTAGAGGAGAAGGGATTGCAGCGTGGCCATCTCTCCTTGTGAGGTGGGGTGATTTCTCACTTACTGTCTCTCTGGCAAGCACATGCACCCTATAGAAAAAATCTAAATCATATCTATTATAAACATATATGTTATCATATAGAATATATATTATCAAACATATATATGATCCCTATATAAACAGCTCTTGTTCAGCCACAAAAATAAGAGCAGAATTCAGAGGTAATTTATGTACTCTCTGGCATGATGTCTAAAATTGTTTTTAAGTGGATAATTTAGGGTAAAAAAATATATGTATACATATATGAATAATATGCTGCCATTTGTATAAAATAGACAAAGTAATTCCAAACGTGTTTGTTTATACATACGTAAAATAACTATGTAAGGATATATACCCAGGAAGGGAACTGGGTGTTAAAGGAAAGAGATGAGAAGCAAACATTATTTGACAGTTTGTGCCTTTCAAATTTTAGCCATGTCAATATCATTTTTAGATAAATGAAATTGTTTTTCAAGTTAAGAAAAAAGTCAAGAATGCCACTGATTTCCCAAGCAAAATAAATAAATAAAACTATTTAAAGCATTAGTTATTCCTCCAAAAAAAGCTAATAGTGGAGAAAAAAATGTAGCTTGTTTTTTGTCGATTTGAAGAAATAATTTATTTCTGCCTTAGTAGTTTAATCCCTTAATAGAACTATCGTGGATAGTAGAATTTAATTTATTTTCTGGAATCTAATCTATATATAAAATTCAGTTACTATGGTGCTGGCCTGTAGCACAGTGGTTAAGGAAACCAGATCCCCCATGGCCAACCATTCAGTCTAAATCCTTGCTGTGGTAGCTTGAAAAACACACTGGTTGCATGTGTATGTATGTGCCCAAAATGTGAGTTAGCTGGTGGCATGGTGGTTGAGACAGCTAGATTCCACATGACTGACTGCATGGTTCGAGTCCGGAACCTGGCAACTTGAAAAACATCCTGGGCATGTATGCATGCATGCCCAAAATCCCAAGAGGAGAGTAGAGAAGAAGGGATTTCAGAGTGGTAATCCATCTTGGGAGGGGGAGATTTTTCACTTTTCCTTTCTATCTCCCTTTTTCTCTCTCTATCTCTTTCTCTCTCATGCACTATCTATCTATACATCTATCTATCATCTGAAGAGGATAGGAGGATGGGGGGATGGAATTGCATGGGGTGACAGTATGACCATGCCACATTGGGGCATGCTTTTACCCATACCCTCTTTCTGTCTCTCTGTTTTTCTCTGATGAGCACACATACCCTCAGGCAAATTTTTCTTTTTAAAATTTAGTTACTGTGTTTTGGATATTGTAATCTGTTCTATAAAGACTTCAGTGTAAGATATACATTGAATAGCACTAGAGTCCAAATGGATCTGTGAGGACATAATGAAATTTTCCATTTAGATAATTATTTCTTACCTTGGATTCCAGTTTTATCATACATACATTTTACATATTTCTCTGAATATCTTTTCCCTCATTTATAACATGTGACTAATAATGGCTACCTTACCAGGCTGCAAGGAAGATAGAATTTTCATTTATGTCAAAGGCTTTGCACGATGCCAAATACTACAGCACACTCAGGAAATGTTCACAACCCATGATAATAACCACCCCAAAGTTTATAGGAATATCATTCAACATAAATTATCAATCAAACCTCTGGAGTCATTTCAGAATGTTTATAATGCAACCGTAATTTTGTTTACCTTTAAAGTCTAATACTTCATGCATTTTACATCACTTACCTGAGGGAATAACGAAAGTATTCAAAGAAGTGTTGCCTTTTTTACAAATATAGCCTAGTTTCTGAACACATTCCAGATTTTCCCATTTAGCATTTTTTCCAGGATTTAGTGACACACAGCTCTTTCCAGGTTCACCTGATGGGCTTCCTGCGAGGAGAAGGAAAAGTTAAAGTAAACTTGTTATAGGCATTCCAAGTGGAGAGCCTCCATTCCAAGTCTTCAACCTTGGGATTTAATGGATTTGCATTCTGTTTTTGCTACCCATTCACACGTAAATGTTTACTGACTGCAGAGCAAAGGATGTGATCGGTGTCTATTGTTTCCCTGTGATTGGATCATTCTAAGGTCAAAACAGGTTGATTACACAAGTAGACAATCATCCCCTGGAAACCTCCTCCAGTATCAAAATCCACAGATGTCAAGTCCGCATCACTTGCAGAAATTAAACCCACAATAATTCAGTCCACAGTTGGTTGGATGTACAGGTATGGAATCCACAGACATGAAGTGCAGACTCTTCTTTGAAATAAGATGTTTTTAATTATCAACTAATAAAACTAAGCCTTAATTCATGAACAATCATCACACTGGGTTATATGAAGCTGTCAGAAAAGTCATGATATATGTTTTTTATGCAAAAAGGCATCATGACTTTTCCAACAACCCAATATTACATATCACAGAGAAGTAACTAATAAGAACAATACATGATGTCCCAACCAGCCATGTTAAAAACAGTCAACGCCTACCCAAAAAACTAAGTCAATCAAACTATGAGGACCACACGAGGGTATCTGTGGTCATGGAGAAAACTTCTCCAATTAGAGAGAGGAAACGGGAAAAGTAGACAATGGAAGGGAGTGAGACAATGGATGAAAAGAGCTGAAAGGACCACATGCTCCACTCCAAAACCCAATACTCTTCCTCAGTATCTTCAATTTGGCTGCCTAAAGAATATTTTTAGTTGCTGACCTCTCATCCACTTCTTACCGGAAATCAAGGTATCAGATATAGTCAGTGTGACTAATGCAGTGACTACACTGTTACTCACATTTCCCATTCTTTTTGTTACCCTGATATGTGAATGTAAGACCAGTGTGTCAAAAACAAGCCTCATCTCACATCTGCCAACAGGATGAATGAGCCACGTTCTCTTGAGAAATCTTCATGACATTTAGCATGTGTATAACCTGTACCTGAACCTCACTTTCACTTCCTGCAAGATGGAAATCATATTACCTGCTCCATAAAGTCTTTATTAAAAAAAATTATACATTGAAGGTCATTTGAATAGAATGCCAAGAAATAATTCTTAGAAATAAGTATAAAAATGTTTTTAAAATGTGTCAATGGAGGACCAACAGGTGGCATAGTAGTTAAGGCACTGGACTCCCAGGTGGTCAACTGTGGTTCAAGTTCTAAACCTGGTGGCTTGAAACTCATGCTAGGCACATGTGTGCGCATGCCCACAATCCCAAGAAGAGAGAATGATAGACAAAATATTACAGTGTGCTCATCTCCCTTGGGGGAGGGGGTTGATTTCTCACTTTCTGTTTCTCTGTTTCTCTGTCTCCCCAGCCAGCACATGCACCCTATAGCAAAAATCTCAAAAAAAAAAATTGTCACTATGACCAAAAATAACAAGATAGCTGAACTTACAAAAAAGATGTCCATACTAGGAAGAAATTTTTAAGATATAATAATACATTTTATAGCTATTGGCTATTAATTAATATATTAACTAGTAACTTATTAATACAGCACTACTATCTATTTTAAGATATCAACTAGTATGCTTGAAATGCTTACCATTGTTATTATACACTTGAAATTACACTGGTACATCACTTACGTGACATATTCGTCACTTCAAATATAAATCTCTTTTAATGGATAAATTACTTGGTAAGCACCCAATCAAATGCTTGACAGAACAATTTATACAATAACTGTTTCTAATATTCCACAAGATTCTAATTTAGTTTGAAGATACTCTCTATTTCAGAAGGTGATTTAATCCTCTAACTACTTCTCAGGAATTTGGTTTAAGGAGAAGTATGCCTATTTCTTTTCCATTAAAATTCCACTTTCATTTCTTACCATTACCAAAGCTAACTCGTGAATTTTCTCACTGAACTTTAAAAATACAAGTTATTAAATATTATAATCTTCACCCCAAAGTTGAATTGTAAATATAATGAATTGCTTAATGTCATATAATAAGTTAACAACAAAAAAGAAACTCTAACCCTTTAATAAAATGATGAGGACTGTTTATAGATCTGAATGGGCCAATAGGTATCCTCCAAATTTAATTTGACTAAATGGTAAACAGATTAATTAAATATTCATCCATTTAAATAAAAGGACATTTTATATTCCCTTGCAGTAATAGGCACTTCCCATATTCCAGATGAAGAAAGTTGATTATCATTCCAAGATTCAAGTAATAGCTCTATAACCATCATGCATTGAAGGAATTCATTGAAAATGGAATTTCACAGTAAAACAGAATTAGTTCAAACCAAAATACATCCTCTAGAAAGTCTCTTGTATTTTAGTATTTCTTTAGAGTATTATCAAAGTTGTCCCTTTTTCTTTTTTTTAATTTCCAGAGGACTTGAATGTTTGCCAGAGAAAACTAGAAGAAGGAAAGAGAGAAAGCATCCCCCCAATGGGGTATGGTCATTCCACAATCCCTTGTCTTTCCTATCTCCATTGTTTAGAGAACACACACACACACTATCTAGGGTGTTTTTAAAACTGCTGGAGCCAGAATTCAAACTACATGGTTGGTTGTATGAAAATTCTGCTACCTTAACCACTAGACCACAGGGTCAGACCAAATCTGTGGTTTTGCCTCATCATGGGTATCCTAGCCAGTTTGCCCAAGAAAGGCCCCCTAAGCTGTCTGAATGCATGGCAAGATTAAATGGCCTTTAAAACACACCTGAACAAACTCAGTCATCAAAGAGTTTCAGCCTTTAGTTTGGCACAGTATATTTAGTAGATGTGAGTTGGAAGTTAAATCTATGAAAAATGTCCTTACCTGATCAGTGGGGAGTATTTGTTCCTCAAGGAACTGAAAGTATATTCCATAAAAGAGCCTAGGGAAGGTAAATGCCTTTTTGTTTTGTTGCTTTTTTAATCCCAGACTAATACCTTGAAGGGACAAAACAATGGCTGTCACTGCCAACTGAGGGAGTGTATTTTCATCAGCACCATCACTGCTTACTTGTCCAGAGTTTTCAGGCCACCAGGGTTGAGATTCAAACTGTGGGTGGGCATGTGGGTTCCAGCTCCCTTAATCATTAGGCTACAGAGCCAGTCCCAAAGTTTTCTTTTTATAATACAATAAGTCAATATAGAAAATGGATAGTTTAAATTTCTAAGGCAAAATGCAAAAACTTCATTCAGTAGCTTTAAAAAAGAACTGACTGATGAAAAGAACACCCTGTCAGTATTGCCCATAGCAGAACTGATAAAGATGTGACCTATATACACTCTTCTTCATTCCCACACCACTGCAGACATTACTAGTTGTTAGCTGCATTCTCCTCTAACAAACCAAGATTGGTACTGGGGTGGAATTGAGGGAGTTGAAATAATAGAAATAGAGGGTCTCAAGAGCTACTGACACCAGTAGGTAGTGGTGACAAGATGAGTATTATATCATTGGTCTTTTTGTTTTCTCGTAATAGTTGCTTTGTACATAAAACTTAGTAATTAGTCTCCTTTTATGTTCTGTTACTCGTATGTTACAACAATGTATAAATAATTCATTGACAGCATTTTCTGTACTCCAAAAAATTAGAAAGCCATTGAAGCTTTAATCATTCCCTAACTGTTCTTCTTCAGACTATAAATCATCAAAGACAGGGCTAATGAACTTTATTCTGATATGTAATATTACCTCTGACTGAGATAGTATTTTTGCTCCAACTCTGTTAGATTAAAAACAGAAGAGGGACCAGCAGTTAGTGTAATGGCTATGTCGCTGGACTCCCATGTAGTCGACCGCAGCTCGAGTCCCGGACACGGTGGCTTAAACTCATGCCAGGTGTGTGTGCGTGTGTGCCCAAGATCCCGAGAGGAAAATGGAGGAGAAGGGATTGTAGTATGGCCATCCCCGCTGGGGGGTGATTTCTCACTTTCTGTCTCTCTGTCTCTCTCTGTCTTCCTGGCGAGCACATGCACCCTTATAGCAAAAACATCTCAAATAAATAAATAAATAAATAAAACCAGTAGAAAATTATGTCAATGTATCAGTAATGGTGATGTTGTAAATATCTCATGACCCAAGATAATGAAAAATTCTCCAACCCAAATATTTTCAGTTCACTTAAATTCATTGTGTGCATGCATAGGTATGTAGACATAAATATGTATGTATAAAATAATTGAATATCACTGTAGTGTTGTGTATTATACACCATAAACATGTATGTTATATATAGGCACTTTCTAGTGGAAATTTTAAGATTCAAAAAGTTATGACAAAAGATTCAAAGGTCAGTCATACGATAATTTGAAAGCACCTTGTCAAGTTTTACAAATAGATCTTTGATCATCCTCTCAAGAATGATGATGAGTCTGATGTAGCATCAAACCAATAATAATAATATTACTATTGGGTTGTCAGAAAAGTCATGACTCATTTTTGCTTAGAAAAATACGTCATGACTTTCCTGACGATCCAATATATTTAGTAAATTATATTTAAAATTAGCTACAAATTTTGCTTTTGACTATAAATACCTAACCAATCAAGGATACTCTGAGAATTTATACTTTAAATGAAGACCTGCCTAGATTTTCATGATAACCCTAGAAGATAAGTTCTTTTCCCCAGAGGATGGTATAAACTTACAATTTTAGTATATTCAAATCTACTTAGTGGATTCAAAGCAAGATAAAAATGGACTATATTTGGCAGTCTCCTATTTTCTTTGAGAGCTGCGTGTGAGATAATAAAGCTCTTCATGGTATTCAAATGAATTAAATAGGGATTAACTCAACCACAGACAGGTTTAAACCTACCTGGCAACCAGTTCAAATATCGGAAAGGACTGCCACTGCTCCATTGCCAGCCACTGTTGAAACTCAGACTGTTCAACCCAATCCAGAGTCCGGAAGTCAAGGAATTGGTTAATCCTATGTAGCAAAAGTAAAAACGAAAATGAAACTGGCATTCGGGGGAAAAAAGCAAAATTAAATTAACAAATGAGTACTTGAATCAAAACATCATTGAGAGGGACCAGCAGGTGGCATGGTGGTGAAGGGCACTGGACTTCCACATGGTCAACCACTGTTTGAGTTCCAGACCTGGCAGCTTGCTTTCTCTCTCTCTCTCTCTCTCTCTCTCTCACTCTGTCCTCTCTGGTCAAATTAAAATAAATAATAAATAAAGTTAGATAAAATTATTCTTTTTTAAAAAAATAATCAAGGGAAGTAATAGTAACTAACACTTCCCCTCTGATTCTAACAGTCTAAGGCAGACATAACCATTGCTTCCATTGACAGGTAAAGAAACCAAGGTTGAGAGACATAGGTAAGTTAGTGAGATTCTTGCTAAGTTTCACCCAGAGCTAAACAGGCTTCAAACTCCATCGTCTCAACTATTACATCGATTTCAAATAGTTCCTAGGAAATGTTTATAATGAAAAAAGTATGCATGGATTTGAAAAAATTTTGCACCATAGTGAACTCATACTTTAACTTTTGCTTAGAAAAATACGTCATGACTTTCCTGACGATCCAATATATTTAGTAAATTATATTTAAAATTAGCTACAAATTTTGCTTTTGACTATAAATACCTAACCAATCAAGGATACTCTGAGAATTTATACTTTAAATGAAGACCTGCCTAGATTTTCATGATAACCCTAGAAGATAAGTTCTTTTCCCCAGAGGATGGTATAAACTTACAATTTTAGTATATTCAAATCTACTTAGTGGATTCAAAGCAAGATAAAAATGGACTATATTTGGCAGTCTCCTATTTTCTTTGAGAGCTGCGTGTGAGATAATAAAGCTCTTCATGGTATTCAAATGAATTAAATAGGGATTAACTCAACCACAGACAGGTTTAAACCTACCTGGCAACCAGTTCAAATATCGGAAAGGACTGCCACTGCTCCATTGCCAGCCACTGTTGAAACTCAGACTGTTCAACCCAATCCAGAGTCCGGAAGTCAAGGAATTGGTTAATCCTATGTAGCAAAAGTAAAAACGAAAATGAAACTGGCATTCGGGGGAAAAAAGCAAAATTAAATTAACAAATGAGTACTTGAATCAAAACATCATTGAGAGGGACCAGCAGGTGGCATGGTGGTGAAGGGCACTGGACTTCCACATGGTCAACCACTGTTTGAGTTCCAGACCTGGCAGCTTGCTTTCTCTCTCTCTCTCTCTCTCTCTCTCTCACTCTGTCCTCTCTGGTCAAATTAAAATAAATAATAAATAAAGTTAAATAAAATTATTCTTTTTTAAAAAAATAATCAAGGGAAGTAATAGTAACTAACACTTCCCCTCTGATTCTAACAGTCTAAGGCAGACATAACCATTGCTTCCATTGACAGGTAAAGAAACCAAGGTTGAGAGACATAGGTAAGTTAGTGAGATTCTTGCTAAGTTTCACCCAGAGCTAAACAGGCTTCAAACTCCATCGTCTCAACTATTACATCGATTTCAAATAGTTCCTAGGAAATGTTTATAATGAAAAAAGTATGCATGGATTTGAAAAAATTTTGCACCATAGTGAACTCATACTTTAACTTCCATTTTTCATGAACTTTTTGAACTTCCCTCATGTACTTTCTTTGTTTTAAAAAAATTATTTTATTTAACTTTATTTATCAATTTATTTATGAATTTTAATTTAACCAGAGAGTGATAGAGTGTGAGAGAGAGAGAAAAAGTGAGAAAGCAAGCTGCCAGGTCTGGGATTCGAAAATCAAATTAACGTGGGTCACCCACCTGGGAGTCCAGTGCCCTTAACCACCATACCACCTGCTCGCTCCAATAGTTTCTTAAGTATAGTATAAATAGGCTTCTTATTTGCATATTACTGTGTTTGACTGTCACCAAATAATGCCATTTTTACTTTATTTTAGAGTAAAACAAGATCTATTTTATATAAAAGTGATGGTGAAATTTGAGTAAACATTTCAACCTATTGCTTTTATAAGTTATTACCCTTACCTCATGTTTCAAACTTACTCTTTTTTTTTTTTTTTTTTTTTTTTCCTGTTTAGGCTTTTGGCTACAGGGCACATGTACTCACTAGAGACAGAAAGAGAGGGAAAGTGAGAAATCACCCCACAAGAGGATGGCCAGTCTGCATTTTCCTCTCCCTCATTCTCCTCTCAAAATTTTAGGCACACACGTGTGCCTGGTGTGATTTTCAAGCTGCCAGTTCTGGGACTCAAACCACAGGTGGTCATGTGGGTGTCCAGAACTTTAATCACCACACTATCTACTGGCCCCTTGAACTTATTCTAAGAGTTTTATTTTTTTAAAAAGCAATTTTCCTTGGGTGGGCCCCATAGCCTAGTCATTAAGGGAGCCCAATCCCACATGGTCCACCCCAGTTTGAATCCCAACCCTGGTGACTTGAAAAACACACCAGGAGCACAGATGTGCATGTCCAAAATCCCATTAGGGTAGAGTAACGGAAGAGAAGGAATTACGATGTGACCACATCCCATGAGAGAGTACTTCCTCCCTCCCTCTCTCGCTCTCCTTTTCTCTCTCTGTCTCTCTGTTTCTCTCTGGTGAGCACATGCAACCGCTAGCAAGTAATTAAAAAGTCATTTTTCTTCTCAACTAAAATGATTACATTCTAAACACTAAACATTTATGCTAATATGAACAACACTTTATTGAGGCAGCTAGCAAATCATAATTACACTGTTTTGATTTCTGTACTTGGTCTCATGTGAAAATAAAAATAACAAAAGCAACTAGAGCCACAGTCCTCCCTAGTGAAACAGTCTACCCTGTTGTTACTCAGATCTTTCCCAAACCCATAGGAAAAAAATTTCCAGGTTTCTCTACATTATTATTATTTCCTTATGATTTTATTTAAGTTTATATATATTTATTTATAATTTGACCAGAAAGGAACAGAGTGAGACAGAGAGAGAGAAAGTAAGAAAGCAAGCCGTCAGGTCCAGAACTGGAACCACAGTGGACCATGTGAGAATCCAGCGTCCTTAACCACCATGCCACCTGCCAGTCCCACTTAAATTGTTCTGATTAAAACAATTAATTAAAAAGAAAGTTATTTGGGCCAACAGACGGCATAGCAGTTAAGGGCACTGGACTCCCATATGACTGACTGCGGTTCAAGTCCTGGACCTGACAGCTTGCTTTCTCATGTTTCCTTTCTCTCTCTTTCTCTCTCTCTCTCTCTCTCTCATCAAATTAAATAATAATAATAATAACAAATAAAGTTAAATAAACAAATAATTCTCACAAAAAGAAAAAAGAAAGCAAGCTATCCTTCAACTTTATCAAAATACCCACCTCGGTATGTGTGCAATCACGTAAACTCGAATGGACCAGTTTGAGTTATCTACAGGATCCGTTCCCCAGGCAAATCTTTCCAGTACTGAGAGTGACTGTTCACTAAACACCTGTATACTCAGAGCACTAAATTTGTTCCTTTGATCCATACAAATTATGAGTTAAATATTATCTTCATTTTAGAGATGAGAAAGCAGGATTTAAATGGCATTGCAGAGCTGAAATTTGAACCCAAATCTGTATGATCAAAGCTCAGAGTCTACAGTTCTGATGTGATCCATGGAACTACCCCAAAGTCAGTAAAATTACCACCTATTTTTTTATGAATTTACATATACACACATTATAGCCCATATTTGAATAAACAGGGAGCACAGTGACACAAAAATTACTTCATGTTCATTGCATCATAGTTTCTTATTTCTGGTTCTTTATTTTTTAATTTTCAATTTTAATTTGCACCATAGTCTCTAAGAGGGCAGCTGGCTTTCCTGGAAATCACACCATCAGCATGCCGCCTGCAGTTCACTCAGCATCTGGCAGAGAGGCCCTTGCGAGCAGAAAACCACTCGAGGATATTGATTGGGTTGATATTGATTGGGTGGGTTGATGCTTAATAAACTGAACTGAACTCAATATCAAATGCACGTGATGAAAAGTGAACCTCATTGCGCAATTTTTTTAAATGAAGTAATAAAATAAAAATGAGATCAAATGAAATACTGGCATGTAAAAATCAATGAATATTAATTTGAATTCACTTATTTTTATCAAGAGTTCTAGGGAAAAAAAGGTTAAGAGCAAATGCAGTGAAAATTCCTCTTTCACTGAGGAATTGTATATTCCTTGGGAGGTATCTAGTCTGTATTTTACAGATGACACCTCTGAGGACACAGAGGTGAAGTGAGTTGTTGAGAGCGAAGCAGAATGTTAATGGAGCCCCGGGCGGCTCAATTTGGTTTTTCCAGTGGCTCCCATCCCCGTTTAAATTAAATCTGCCTGGGAGTTATGATTATAGTAACTTTTCTTGATAATGTTAAATGTTAGAGCATCTTTAAGTAAAAAAAACAATAAACTAGACAGATAACTTCCGATACATGTTGTTGCTTTCAAATAATAGCCCAGTGCCAGAACTCATTTCTGTCATCTTTGAAGACTCAACATTTGGTTCACCAAAGTTAGAATCTTCACATCAAAGTATAGAAACATTTAATATAGGGACCGCAGATGACAAAGGGCTTACATTGCTGAACTTTCATGTGGTCAACTGTGGTTTGAGTCCTGGAACCAGCAGCCCAGTGCAAGTGCGTGCTTGCCCAAGATCCAGAGAGGAGAATGGAGGAGAAGGGATTGCAGCATGGCCATTCTCCCTGGGGGCTGCTTTCTCACTTTCCCTGTCACTGTCTGTCTCTCTCTCCCTGGTGAGTGGACATGCCCTATGGCAAAAATCTCTAAAAAAAAATACTTAATATAAAGTCACACCAAGGAAATGACACTATGAAAAGAGAAAATGTGATGAGGGTCATCATGACTGCATTTTTTTTTTTACAAAGAAGTAATAAAAATTCATCCATGTTAAATCGATGACTATAAAGTTTCTCGTATTACCAATTATTTCCTACTAAGGTTCATTTATTGCTTTATAATAGTTCTTTTTTCTTCTTTTTTCAAAAATTTTTCCAGCAAGCATTTGCATTCACCGAAGACAGAGTGAGGGAAGAGGAGGCAAAGAACACTTCCCAGTGGGGCATAACCACCTGTCTCCTCCATTTCTCCACCCTATCGGTATTTGGGCATGTGTGCACATGTACCCAGGACGTTATTCAAGCTGCCATGCTGGGACTCAAATAGTGCAGTTGGCCATGTGAGATCTATCTCCCTTAACTCCAGGCCATGAGGCTGGCCCCCCAAAATTACTAAAAATGTTAACTACTCTATTATTATTTATTTCTCTTTTACGATTAAGTTAAACCAACTACAAAGTATTGCACAACTTCGCCCATGCAAATAGATAAGGTGAGGTATCAAGAGGGGCCATCCGTCTACCGGACTCTAGCTTAGAAATATCTTAGGATCATGTCGATATTATTCTTTGTGTTGACAATTACTCCATATAACACTAGCGATCAGTGGGCAGTTTTTTTCCCCACAAATTTCTTAAACTCGAAATTTCTTAATTATCTTTAAACTGGAGGAAATGCTTCTGGAAGTAGCATTTCATGAAAGGTGATAGTTATTGCCAAAATTAACTACTCTGGAATTTCTAAAAACCTATCAGATAAGAAAATAAGCATAATGTAAATCTTCTAAACTACAAAAGGTACTTTCTTTATCAAAGAAAGAGCAAAGTCGATATCTGTGATTACTTACTTAAATTACTATTTGGTAGGATAAGAAGTGGTAAGTCTTTTAAGAGAATGACTTATTCTTTGACATTCTTCATCATCTCTAAGTACTTAAAAGTTTATCCTGAAGAGTCAATTAGGTCTGGTCTCTTAGCCCAGCTGTTCAGCTCTGCACGGAAGGAGCGGGATGCTACCTGGCCAACAACAGTTCTAATCCTAGCCCTGCTGGTTGGAAAAACACACTGGACTTTGTGTGTATGTGTGTGTGCAACTGCATGTGCGCACCCAAAATCCCACGGGAAGGAAAATGGAGGAAAAAGTTTTGCAGCACGACCACA